TAAAAACAATGCCCAGATGAAAATTATTACTACTTGTGTATAACTTTTAACGTTGTCTATTAAGTGAATAAAGCTCCTACTTAAGAGGAACCATTAACCTTTTGCAAATAGCGACAGCAAAGAGACGCAGATGCTCTCAATGACCTTCATAGATAACGCGAGCTGAGTGCTGACGAATGTTTCAGTGCACCGCGTGGTGTGACAGAGGCAAGTTGTATGTGTGTGTCTAATGGTGATGTTGCCTGTGTCTTTTCTTCTGTGGAAAAGCAGTTGTTCCTTTATCACTGCCTCCCGTGTCTATTTTGTTTACCGATAATTTGCAAAAAATCAAGTTTTAAGGAAGTTTATCAAGTTTATTTTTTTGCAAAAAATCAAGGTGGAAGGAAGTCAAGTTGTGTTTTACAGATTGCATGATAAGGGCAGTGAGATGCGCTGCATTGGCTGCTGTTGTTCACAACATATTTACCGCTGCTATCCTAACGTTATAACGACAGTATTGCTATTATTCACAAAATAAACGCGTTTGTGTCACTGATTTTATTTTTTACATTGTGCTTGGGAGGTGCGTGACAATGGAGCATAGCCACCAATTGCTCAAATTCATTGCCATTGATCGTATTGAGATAACATAAGTAATAATTTGAAATCATCAATAATTATTGAAGACAAGAGGACTGACGCACTGAATTGAGATTCAAAATTTTATTCTATTCAATTAAATTCTATCACCATAAATATATATATTACATGAAGTAAACATCGCATCATTACACGTCACTTGCAAGTAAGCATAATTAAAAAAATATAAAATAACCATGCTAAAGCGTGTGCGTTTTTTGTGTGTAGCAACTAAGCCTGTCGGGGAAACAAACAATAACTCATTTGTTAGGAAGCGGCTACCAGCCAGCTCAAGGCCTCGTGATTAATGTGACGCATGGTTCATTTGCTTGTGCATTGAGCTCATTATCACGACCCTGCGGGTATTCAAGAAACGAATACGTTTTTTGAGAGATGTTTGTGTTTAGTAGCCTCTATAAATAAATTTATTAAATATATATATATATACATTTAAAATGTGAATATATGTAATATATTATATTGATAATAAGGTGAATATAAAGAAGAGATATTTGAGCACGAATCCTACCCATCGTCATATTTCAATTCTTATAGTGACAGGATATTGTGGCTATCACATTTTATTAATGAAACCTAAGGAATCCCAGAAATAATACATAAATTTTTATAATAGGTTTATATATAATTAATTAATTCATTTAAAACTTAGGAATTTAAGATCACATTTTATTATACAAGATTGGAGCGTATATGAGGCCTGATGCTCTATAACTATAATTAACATGAGGTTAGTGTGGACTTGATAAACAGTGATCCTTCCACATAAGAACTTAGTCTGTTCCGTGACTGGGTTCGTATGAGGAAATGTTCGCGTATGTGGAAAGAATATTTCCATTAATAATTAATGTATAAGCAAAAAATGCTTGCCGCACATTCCCAGGAGTCGCCTTTATTGCCCCCTATTATTATGTTTGAATCACCATAATATCAGAAACAAATAACACACATAAAACCATATTAACAATAAATAAAATATTATATAACATAAAAAATGTATTATTATTTGTTATTAAAACAAGTTGGCAAGTCTAGGCGTATCACTGTTTGCGTATCTAGGCACTTAACATTGCCGGTATCACTGCAGTGATATTCATGCAGTGTTAGGGAACATTCACATTGAAGCTTTTAAATCAAAGGAGAACATAACTATTTAGGACAACGTAAACTATAAATTTCGATTGTTCAGGAGAAGCAAATAACTGGAAGGTGTTCCAAAAAAAGTATAAGCAGAAAAAATATGTTGTGAAATAAGGAAGAGTTGACAATCCAAGATTTATTCGAACATATGTTCAGTTATCTGAAATGCGAGTAACTGACATTAAATACTGATTAACATAACACAAGTATAACTAGCAACAGAAACAACGATATAGCGGAATGAAAGTCAGCAGTGTTCGTGGCAGAGAACATACATTACGAAACGACAGTGGTTAGAACGTTTCATCTCAACCCGTACATTGAGACAGCTGGTGTTGAAGCTTGCTATTGATTTTCCTGCTCCCATCGCTTATTACATGTATTGGGATACCAACATCGCAACATGCTCCTCATGACTCACTGTTGTCCAGTTTCACGCGTTCTCATTGTCGTCCCGTTTAATGCGTATATATACAATTTTTTAGGAAATCTGTGTACCGATTGTTAGAATACGCCCCTTTTACAGCAACAGAATGAGACCAGAAAACGGAAAAACAATTCTTTTCCAGAACAGAGGGTAGACCCTCTCTTTTACTTAACGTTCTCGTCAAATGCTTGTAAACTGGAGAAATGGATCATTGCCGAGTATGGGATGTGACTTGACCGCAACTTACCTAACATTCGCAGGGAGCTTCTACATGATGGCCCTGCGCTGCCCCGATGTCAGCGAGCTGGCGGAGCGAGCAGCCGAGGTCACCTTGAAAGAGACTGACGTATGGGAAGTTCGCACTGGTAATTACTATTAAAAATTAAGTGATAATTAGCATACCCAAAAATGTGTAAAATATTTAACTGATGTGTGCGAACCCAATTACCGAAACATTGAACGGCAATTGGGTTGTGAATGACCAAGTGGGCTGTTCATGGGTAGAGAACGTAATATTTCAGGTGGTTATCGCCCGGGTTTGATTAAAGTAGTTTTGATAAAATGATTATTGTCCTAACTCTTTCTCCAGCTCGAGATGTTGTGGCAGTCGCTCTGACGTTGCAACACAAACAACCACGACTCATCGACATCGAGTTGTTACCGGAGGTGCTGCGGGCCGAGGGCTCCAGCTGGGAAACGGTGGCAAAGAATCACTGTGGACAGCTGATGTTGAAGCTCAGACCGAACAAATACGGGCTTTGTGACGACCTACTTGGGTGCCTGCATGGCTCCAGGTCTGTAACAATCCATCGAGGTGTATTGTTTCTACAGATCTACTACTGTATATAGTTACATTGAACCTAGTCACTTTAAAGTATAAGAGTGATTACCCCATAGAGAGGGTACTAAGGGTATGAATGACACATCGAGGTGTATTTTTGCCAACACCTCAATGAACGGGCAGTGGTCAACTTACTCCACTGGTGAACCAGTTGTCAACTTATTCCACTGGTGTGTCAGTTGTCAACTTGCCTCACTGGTGTGTCAATTGTTAACTTACTCCACTGCTGAGTCAGTTGTCAACTTACTCCCCTGATGTTTCAGTTGTCAACTTACTTGTTGTTGTTAATTGCCCGAAACCGCTGCTCGGCGGCGCCCACGAAGAGGCGGCGGCTCCGGGGGGAGGAGGGGGGAGCGGAGGTTCCGCTCCAAGAATGTCGGCGAAGGATGGGAGCGAGGAGAGGAAAGCCGCAGTCGGTCCAGGGTTAGACCAGAGGTCCAGTAGGGTCAGCGAGGTGGGATGCGAAGGGCAGCTGAAGAGGTGATGGGTGGTTTGGTCTACAGAGCCGCACTCAGGGCAGAGTGGGCTGTTGGCTGCGCCGATGCGAGCAAGGTACGAATTGAGCCGCGATGAGTAGCCAGAGCGGAGCTGGGAAAGGGCGCTTCTGGCCGCCCTGGGCAGGGATAGCTCGCTGGATGAGACAGTGGGGGCAGGGGTCAGCAGCACCTTGTTGGGAGCTGCTGAGGCCAGGTAGGATGAGACAGCGGAGCTGTGCAGGGAGCTGAGGGCAGCGGAGTAGGTGTCGGGGGGGGGGGGAGGGATCCCTCTTCCAGCAGGTGTGAGACCGAGAGGAGGAAGCGGGACTGAAGCGTGTGCTTCATGGGACGGGGCCCTGATGTCTTGATGACAATATGGTAGCTGGGATGGTGTGGTCGAAGGGCACTGGCAAGGTCCTGTGAGCAGAGTAGAGAGAGGTGGTCGGCCACGGGTAAGACCTCTGCTTCGCTGTGCAGGTGGGAAGCGGAGGCCATCAGAAGAAATCCCGTGGCTTTGCGTAGGGCAGAGTTTTGAATAGTTTGCAGCTTGGATATTGCCGAGGGAGAGGCGTTGGGGAACCACACTGGAGCAGCGTAGGTGATAAGAGACTTTATAAGAGCCTTGAAAGTCTCCAAGAGGGTTTCCTTCTGCTGTCCCCAGCTGGTTCCGGCAAGGGATTTGAGGATGTTGAGGCGCGGGCGGGCTCTCTGGTATACAGCAGCGATGTGAGGCGAGAAGGTGAAGTCGGGGTCGAAAGTGACCCCGAGGACCTTCGGGGTACGACAGAGTGGAAGGTCGGACCCCTCCCAGCAGACGTGAGGGTCTGTTTGTGATTGATGGGTGTCAGAGGTGAAGAGGGTAGTGTGGGATTTGGGGATAGAAACCGATAAACCCTTCCGACGAGCCCATGCAGCCACATCGGAGGAGTGGGAGGAGAGGACCGCAGATGCGTCGGCGATCTGCACGACCTTCGCAGCGGCAGTGAAGTCGTCCGCATATGAGGTGATTAGAGGGGCGGACTGGGGGAAGTCTGACACATAGGAGTTAAAAAGGACGGGCGAGATGACGGAGCCTTGTGGAACTCCAGCGAGGACCGGGCGTGGGGAGGAGATGCAGCTGTTGTAGGAGCACCTGGCTGTCCTGCCTCTGATGTAGCAGATCAGCCAGCGGGTGATATTGGCGTGGAGGGGAGTGTGATTAGGAATAGGAATAGGAATAAATTTTACATAAAATTAGTGATTGAGGATTTCGAGGGAGGAGCTCGGAACCGCCTAGCTAGAGCGCTGCGCGAGACCGGCGCGGTATTTAAGGGAGAGCGCGGGCCGACCGCGAGTTAGTCACGGTCGGGTGTTCGAGGCAGTCAGACGTATCGTGGACGCAAGTATCGTGAGCCTCGAGTACCGTTCAGAGAGAACATTTAACACGCCGTGTCCTGCAAACCGCCTCCCCATTTGTGGGTCTGTAACGCCGAGCCCGGCAGCTGTGGGGCCATCGCCCGGGTCATACGAGCCATTGCTCCGTATAACAAGAGGTTAGCGTGCAGTTCACAAGCCTTTAGGTTGAGTATAACAGTAAACTTATGTTCTCACGCTAATTATTCGAGTTTCACATATACTACGAGTAACATATATACGACGAGTCTTGCGTATACTACGAGTGTCACGTATACTACGAGTCTCACTTAAACTACGAGTCTATTCGTCATTGTTGCAGATGTGATGGGAACCTTGTGAAAGCTGTCAATCTCATTTGTTTCCCGTGCAGATTTGGTTCCATAGCGCTGAGGTATTGTGGCTTGGAAGAAAATGAACTGCGACAACTGTTGGAGCAATTGCAAGTCTATGGCATCAGGACCGCCTTTCAGGGACAGACGTGTTACAGTAAAGACACGTGAGTCTAAATTCCACTCCAAATTTCTCCAAAAAACTCGTAAGACACACGTGCAGTAAATTATCGTGTTATGCATTTTACCAGTTTCTCGCGAGCCGTGAGAAAATGGTGACGAGTAAACTCAGAGAATTAAATGATTGTGACTTTGTCCGAATAGCGATGCCTCTTATTCATTGTGTGGATCATTCTGACCCAGTTTTGGTCATTTCGACGTGTGCTTCCTCCTCGCACCGTGTAAGAGAAAGTGTCTATTTGAAAGTCACTTTTTGGAACAATAGGACCCATGCATTTATCGCGAGTGCACACATGGTGAGCCATTAAAATCGAAGCCGCGAGAGCCACGAGAGCTAATGGTCTAAAACACAGCGATATATATACATATATAATTACACTATTTTGATTATTTGATTTAGTCGAATAATAAATCGATACCTAATGCTTACTATATACTGCCCGTTCAATTAATCCACGATTCGCGACCAATATATTATTTCTGTCGTTAAAATCTAGGTTTCATTACATTTGAAGGAATTGAATCATTAAATAATTTCTCGCATCAGTTTAAGATAATAATATATCTCTTTAAAATTTCATTATCTTGAGTAATTTAATAAATTCTTAAGAACAAATTTAAGCAATTTAGCATAAATTGATTCTCTACAGAGGCGGCCACGTGTGGTTTCATGTAGCTGACTCCCAGTTGAATGACATCACCAGGTGAGATACCCAGTTGACTGACTTTACTGGGTGAGGTACTCAGTTGACTGACTTCACCAGTTGAGACGCCCAGTTCCCTGACTTTTCCAGGCCAGGAGCCGACCCTAACAAAATTCGGACACTCTGCAACTGGGGCTGCCTTGGCCGCTGGGAGCAGGTAACTCAGCAGCAAATGTCCGATTAGGCCGCGCTTGAAGGGCGGCTCCTTAGCACCTTGTCAGACTCTCAGCTCTTGTCAGACTCTCAGCTCTTGTCATACTCTCAGCTCTTGTCATACTCATAGACTATTGTCATACTCTTAGGACACTATAAATCCGGAGAAGGGCTTCTAACCACAATCATATTTCGGTTGGTACACCCTGTTCTAGCCAGAATTTTATCCTGCCTCTGCGAAAATTACGTCACCTGGGGAGTGACATACAAACTATATATGAATGTTCTGCGCCAAACAACACCGAGATTCCCGTTGTCAGTTTTTACACGATCATGATATCTTTGGATCGCAAATTTTCCATTGAGTAATAAATTTCTGCTTGAGCTTACGATTTCAAAGAGTATTAATTATATTAGTACCAAACATTGCCTATGTGACCCAGGCTAAAAATATTCTCCTGCAGGACTGCGAGAGCCGTCAGTCAAGTCATCGATGAGCTTCAGTCCAGCAACGACAGTAACGTCAGTGCTCAGTGGCCACAACTACAACACAGGATGCGGGACGCGGGGGCCACAGCGCGGGACTGGCGGGACGCAATGCACTGCTGCCCACCGCGGGCCACAGCCCGAGACTGGCAGGACGCGAAGCAGTGCCGCCCACTGGAAGTGACGGTTGCCAACAAAGCTGCACAATGTAGTCTCAAGGAAGACGGGAAGTTCATGATAAAGAGCGGTGAGTTTCGTTTGCAAATGGGATATACTTCCGTGTATGTCTTCTTTACTTGTGTATCATGTATCAAGGAATAACACATCCATGCGACAACATTTCTTCTCGCTTCGAGTCACCGACATGTGGAACAGCCTCCCTGATAGCATCGTTGACGCTCCGAGTATGAACGTCTTCAAGAACAGACTAGACGAAGCTATGCAGGAGCATATGTTCAGTTTTAAAATGCCTAGCAACTTACGGGCCAGGGGCCGGATAATCAAAACTTCGTAATTTTTCGTACTTACGACGAAAAAGTTACGTAAGTTATGTGTTACAAAACTTACGACAAAAACTTACATACGTAAGTTGCGTGTTACGTAACTTACGTGTTACGTAACTTCCGTACGACAAAAGTTACGTGTTACGTAAGTACACCCTAATTTTGGCATTATCAAAACTTTCATACACAAGTCTTAGCTAAAGGCGTATTATCAAAACCATCTGGCTAACTGACCACTCAGAGGCTTCGGAGTTCCTGTTCCTATAGATCCTCCCGACCAGTGCGCGGTGCGCTTGGACGAAAGCAGGATGTGCGGTGTCAGCGGTATTTGCGGTGCCTGACTAGGGTGTATTGGGAGAAATAAATGAGACGTTATCCGAGTATCAGTGCACTTGTTGTCGTGATCATTAACCGAAATTTCTTGCAATAAGAGAAAATAAATGCATTAATCCCATTCAAAATTAGAAGAATTATTTAGAAGGTTACAAAGAATTTAGAAAATTTCGTGTGTTGGAGTTGCGACTGTCATAAAAAGAAATACATTTATTTGCAGAGAACTAGAAAAATGGATGGCTTGTTAACCTCAATATAATTTTGAATCAAAAAGGCATTAATATATTGTTCAAGAGAGTGATCATAAAACTCTTAGATATGAATATCAACATTTGCTTGTAAATTATAGCACAAAAGGCAATGACATTTTTCCCAAAATCACCGTTTAGCACGATCACATACATATTATGTGTCGGATTACTGACAAAATTCTATCACAATTCACCGTGTTTCTACTTGCTAGTAAATCAATAGTTTCCTATTGCTACAGCAGACACTCTAAACTTGTAAGGAACTCCACTTACGACATCTCCGAGCAGGCGTACAGTTACGTTTCGTATCTTCCCGCGCAAATGTTTTGATAATACCACCTCTAGAGTTACGTCATCAAGTCAGCACTTACGCCACTCGTAAGTTGATTTTGCGTACATACGAAGTTTTGATTATACGGCCCCAGGCAAAAAGTCCAGCAGCTATCTCAATCAATCGTCAGTTAAGGAAAGATCGGGTTACAAAGGCCGGATTCTTTGTTAATCAAGTCACGAAAAGTACATGGATCGGCAACAGGCCATGTGCCTATTTCTTCAGAGCCGAATTCTCTATTCTATTCTAATACGCGATACCCCTCATTACTTATTTATTCTGTCTCCTCTTACCAAATGTTTCAATCCTTGTACAAGTTCTACTTACATTTCCCCTGTGTGTAGTCGTTGCTTATAAGTTTCGTTATCATTTTCTTTGTTGTGCCAAGTGTTTCATCACCCTTTTAACTTTCATTTTTTATTGTTATCTCGCACTTTTTACAGGGGATGATTCATGAACAAACTCTTATACGTCGATTGATCATCGTTCTGTTTCGTCAAAATATCTTTATTTCGTATGTCTGCATAGCATACAACTTTATTGTGTTGGAGATAATAATTAATTTTTAGTGTAGTGACTTTCTGTTTAGAAAATCTTATCTATCTTTCTTATAATCGTATACGGTGTCGTATGGGGTAAGAAGAGGAAGATAACGTTCCCGTTCGTTCGCATTGTAAGTGTAGGTTTGGTCGGTTAACGAAGTACCGGCTCTTTTTTCTTTTATCGAGATAACGTCTGATAGCATCACTGCATGTGCTGTTCCGTACTCAACCCTTCTTCTTATTCATATCCAAGGCAAATAAATGCTTAAATAACTTTATGAATGTCTCCAGTACTCAACCCTCCTCTATACTTCCTAACTGAAGTTAAAGAAAGATAATTTATCAAAAAGTTAAAGTTACAAGGAAAATAGTGGATGAAACACCGCTATTTTACCCAGCAGGCATTCGGTGGTTGAATCAACTACCTATTGCGACATTGAGATCGGGTGAAAAGAGGTTTAGAATGAAAATTTAAGCAACATCTTTCATGGAACGTCTTACTGACGTTACAATGCAACGTTGAATCAATGTTGCTACTAGGACGTTGCTGCAACGTTGAGTTCTCTGGTTGAATTGGCTATTATACGACGTCGAGACCGCGGTGAAAAGAGGTTCAGAATGAAAATTGAAGCAACGTCTCTCACGAAACGTCGTACTGACATCACAATGCAACGTTGAATCAACGTTGCTACTACGACATTGCTGCAACGTCAAATTCTCTGGTTGAATCAACGTTGAAAACCCGACCTGTTTTTCGTCCATAGCAGGATTCGAACCCGATATCGCTGGAGATCGCGCAACGCCTTAGCAACCTTGACCACGGCAGCTCGCGTGCATGAGCAATAGGAATAAGATAAGGAATTGTTCGACTACTCGAAAATTGAAATGCATTCTGTGGTCATTGCTCGTACACTTATTTATATGTATTTCATTCAATGTTGTTGTGATAACATTAGTTCTATGCTGGTAAATGGCTAAACATTCAACGTACCGATATCGATCATTTTTCAACGTTGAAATAAGGTTGTTTTCCTTTTATTCTAGTTTTGGACAGATTTCGACGTTGATCGGGCGTTCAATTTTGGTTGTTCAGCATTTCAACCTGAAGTCAACATTGATTCAACGTTTAAAAATTAGTAAACATTCAACGTACCAATATCTACGTTATTTCAGCGTTGAAATAAGGTTTTTTACATTCGTTCTAGTTTTGGTCAGATTTCGACGTTGGTTGGACGTTTAATTTGAGTTGTTCAGCAATTCAACATGAAATCAACATTGATTCAAGGTTTAAAAATTAGTACAAATTCGACGTACCAATATCGACGTTATTTCAACGTTGGAATAAGGTTGTTTTACGTCCCTTCTAGTGTTGGTCAGATTTTGACTTTGATATGACGTTTCATTTTTGTTGTTCAACATTTCAACCTGAAATCAACCAAGAAACAACGTTGTTTCAACGTCAGATGCCTGCTGGGTAGCGTTCATGAAAGATTCATGAGCTCGCAATTATATTTTATCTTCGCATTTTCAGCTAAAAAACGATTGTTGAACTGGGTGGGCTTGTGGACAAACGGTGAGCTTGTTCGTGAGGCTGAGTTATTTTATCTCGTCTTTTAGTCAATAAAGTGAATAGTGAGTGAAAATTTTTGTCATGTTCATTGGTCAAAAGCGAAGATGTTACATAAGTTGTTTAGTCAGCTTATTATTCAAAACTCAATTAAACCTGTAAAAAAAATTTCGACCAACATTTGCAGAGTGTGACCTCGATGACGTGGCAATGATGCTCCCCCACGCCCCATGCACCACCCTGGCGGTGGAGGCGTCCCCCCAGGTCCTGAGGACGGCAGGGTGGCATAAGATTGTTCAACTCCACAGAGGAGACTTGCGCCTCAATCTGATGGACTGGGAAACTGGATTCCAACCTTGCGATGATGTTCTTGAGTCTCTGCTCGACCCCAGGTATCGTAAAGCCGTTCTTATTTATGCCCGTTGTTACACAGAGGGCAACATTTCAGTTCATTATCATTTCGCTTTCAGTTATCTGGAATTAGACATAGAACTAAATTATATTTAAGGCACGGTTACACTTCTCAAGTCTGAACAACATGTAATGATAATATAATTGTCCATTGCGGTGAAGTTATTATGCACTCTTTGGAATCGTTTTTATCCTGATTTATTCTTGTGCTGAATTTGCAAAACCAAAAGATTTTACTATCAAACAATTTTTAAAGATTCTCCCAGAATATTGTAATTAAACAGAATTGGACTGTAGAACAGAATTGGACTGTAAATTTTGAAATATTAAACTTGATTATTGATTTTTGCTCGCGAGTAAGTAATTGATTTATACGGGTAAGTATTGATTTAATTTTAATGTCTAATTCATTGATCCTTAAGCGGTCGATTGCACAAATAGAATGTGATCTCCCAGACCTGAGGTAACCGGGAAATTCCATCGCACCTGAGAGTGTTTTTTGTGAATGAAGTAATCAACTTAATGTACACTGTACATATGGCAGGTGAGATAAATGATTACTCTGTGCCCTGGAATTTACGAGTCGGTTTGCTGCTGGAATTCAACTCGTTCTCCATGAATTCCTGGTGGACGATTGCGAAATAAAATTTGCGTGGATAAATGTAAAAATGCATCGTTCATGAAACAATTGAGCGGAACCGACTTAGCCATGAATCACTGAAAGCGTCTTTACAGAGTGAATGGAAGTCTGCTAGGGCCGGCGCCCAAATAAAAATTAAGAGTGGAGCACCTATGTGTTTAAGATGACTATAGGCGGACGCCACAGATGGAGCAGCTATGATTTATACAGTGAATTAAGGGTGGCGTGCACCACCTTTACCACACCTATAACCTGTCTATGGCCCCCCTACCTGATAAGCTGTTCTTCCGCAAATAACTACCCATTGGCACCAGTGGCACATTGACGAGCCACCGATGGCCACTTTTTAGAATGAAATCTTAAAAATTTTTTAACTTAGTTTCTAATCCGATGCTTATGTATTTACTGACATAGTTCCACACAATCAGCATTGTAAGGGCAGCGTACATAGATGTACCACGATAGTACAAGTAACAATATCAGACATGTAGCGGGAACAAATTTTCAGAATACCATACACATACCTCGTGAGAAATCGAGCTGATGAAACTCCCTGCCTGCAGGATTCGAACTCCGGTCTCCCCCACGCGAAGCAGAGCCTCTACCGTTGAGCTATAGGAGAGGACTAGGCACTAGAGTAATTTTAAAATATTTGACTGAAGTATTGCAAGTATTAATTTCATCGAATGACAAGAAGTTAGTGCTACCACCGTGAAGATTAGATATGTCCTAACTCTTTCTCCAGCTCGAGATGTCGTAGCAGTCGCTCTGACGTTGCAACACAAACAACCACGACTCATCGACATCGAGTTGTTACCGGAGGTGCTGCGGGCCGAGGGCTCCAGCTGGGAAACGGTGGCAAGGAATCACCGTGGACAGCTGATGTTGAAGCTCACACCGAACAAATACGGGCTTTGCGACGATCTACTTGGGTGCCTGCATGGCTCCAGGTCTGTAACAATCCATCGAGGTGTATTATTTCTAAAGATCTACTACTATATATAGTTACATTGAACCTAGTCACTTTAAAGGATAAGAGTGATTAAAACAGGAGGCAATATGCATAGAGGGTACGAAGGGTATGAATGACACATCGAGGTGTATTTTTGCCAACACCTAAATCAGTGGTTCCCAAAGTGGGCGATATCGCCCCCTAGGGGCGGTGGAAAAAATTTGGGGGGCGGTAAGGAAGAGGAGAGCGGTAGGGGGGCGATAGGGGGGCGATAGTCCGAAATCGAAGTCATAAATTCGAACGTTTGTTTGACGATTTGTACACAACACGTGCAGCACATGACTCCCAGCGATGGTATTTTCACCCAGATCTGTTTGACAAATTAACGGCCGGACTCGCGGCCGGTCTCACGGCCAATTTCCAAATTCAATGATCAAGGAATATCTTTCAAACTAATGAACTTAACTCGATGAAACTTGGTGCACGTATTCATTAGGACCTAACGATTATGTTTTGCTCGTGAAAATTGTTTGAATTTTGCCATAGTTATATGGCAATACCGCCAATACGGGCCGAGATTCACAGTGATCAAGTAATTTCTTCCAAATTAATGAACAGATTTGAACGAAATTTTGAATTTACAGTCCTAACTACCGAACGGTAATGTATAACTCGTGAAAATTTTTTCGATTGTGCCTTCGTTCGCGAGTTTTTTTTCATTTCACCTTCATTCGTGATTAAAACAGCAATACGTGCTTAAATTCGCAGTAATCAAGAAAATTTTTCCAAACTACTGAACAGATTTGAGTGAAACTTGGTATTTAAATACCGAACCTCAGCAACGGTCATGTTCACAGTTTTTCGCTTTGCCTTCATTTTCGAGTTTTGCGGCTATACGTATAAGGCTCTTGGCTAAACCGTCCGGTAGAAAAGCCGGCCGTTCCTCCTAAATCTGTATAATTCGCGAACGAAAGCAAAATGGATAAATTGTCACGAGCTAAACATCACCGTTGAGAGGTTAGGTAGTTATATACAAATTTCGTTGAAATCTGTTCTGTAGTTAAGAAGAAATTTCTTGATCGCCGCGAATTTAAGTGACAAATTACCCGGCGATACGGGCCGAATATGAGGAAGTGTGAAATCAAGAATGACGGTGAAATGAAAAAAACTCGCAAACGAAGGAAAAATCGAAAAAAATTATAAGGTAAAAAATCACCGTTTGGTAGTTAGGAATGTATATTCAAAATTTAGTTCAAATCTGTTCAATAGTTTGGAAAAATTCTTTGATCACTGCGAATTTCGGCCTGTTTCGCAATATACGCGTAACTCACGAATGAAGGTGAAATTGAAAAAAAATACAAGCTAAACATCGCCTTTTGGTTCTGGTGAATAAGTGTCCCAAGTTTTATAGAGCTGCGTTCATTAGTTTGGGAGATATTGCTTGATAATGGAATTCGGAGATTGGTCGTGAGACCGCGGCCACGAGGCCGGCCGTAAATTTGCCCGAGACGTCCTAGGTTTCTAGTGCTGAGACAGTTAAAACAGCTGAAAACATATTGGTTCACTAAATAGGGTTCTATTTGTAAAATACACATTGGTGTTTAACCTTTATCTTTTAAAATTGCGGCGTACTAAATTTCAAGAAAGAGGCGTATGTCTGTGGGGGGCGCTAGAAATTCACTAGGGAGCCAAAGGGGGCGCCAACCTGAAAAAGTTTGGGAACCACTGACCTAAATGAATGGGCAGTGGTCAACTTACTCCACTGGGGAATCAGTTAACTTAATCCACTGGTGTGTCAGTTCTCAACTTACTCCACTGGTGTGTCAGTTGACAACTTACTCCACTGATGTGCCAGTTGTCAATTTAACTTACTGGTGTGTCAGTTGTCGACTTACTCCACTGTGTGTCAGTTGTCAACTTGCCTCACTGGTGTGTCAGTTGTCAACTTACTACACTGGAGTGTGAGTTATCAACTTACTACGCTGGAGTGTCAGTTGCCAACTTTCTCCACTGCTGAGTCAGTTGTCAACTTACCTCACTGGTGTGTCAGTTGTCAACTTACTCCACTGGTGTGTCAGTTGTCAACTTGCCTCACTTGGTGCGCCAGTTGCCAACTTACTCCCCTGGTGTGTCAGTTGTCATCTTACCTCACTGGTGTGCCAGTTGTCAACTTACTGCACTGGTGTGTCAGTTGTAAACTTACTCCACTGGTGTGCCAGTTGTCAAGTTAATCTACTGGTGTGTCAGTTGTCAACTTAATCTACTTGTCAACCATTGGACCACTTGTGGACCACTGAACTATCTCCACTGCTGCTGCCACATGCAGATGTCAACTTACTCTACTATAGTGTTGCCACGTGCGGATATAAACTAACTGCATATGTGTTGCCACATGCAGACGTAAACTAACTGCATTTGTGTTGTCTCCTGCAGATGTCAACACTTACCCTTCAGATGTTGCCACCTACAGGTGTCAACTAACTACTATTGTTGCCATATGCAGATGCCAACAAACTCTGAGTGTGTTGCCGCTTGCTGGTATATCAACTAACTGAAAGTTTTGCCACGTGCAGGTGTCAACTCATTAGGTTTAGCGGCAGGATCAGCAGTTCTGCCAGCGTCGCCGCTGTCGCTTCAATTTCTACGGCGGCAAGGACGTTCCTGACCTTCGCACTGCACGGCCTCCTTAACTTGGGCGCCCTGCAGGGCAGGTACAATCGACTTGGTAAGTACAGACGGAGGTGCGACCTCCACCTTCAAGAGAATAATAGTTAATAATCAACTCTTGATATCGTCGGTAAATTAATAATATAGGAGCCATAACAATTAGTTATCTTCAGACTTGGCTAAGAACAGATTCTTCTCGACATTTTCAATAATTAACAAGTTTCGGAAATAGTTCACTAAATATATACATAGGTAAAGATTAGTCAACATACGACACAGTAAATAAAAAGATAACTGCTATTAGATATGTTGGAGAAATGGCGAGATAAAAAATGGCGGACATAAAAATGGCGGTGAATAATAATGTTAACAAATTAAATACAGAAATATTCGCAATTCTTATTCTACAGAAGAGCTTAGGAGGTGCTGTTAAAAGCCTCTTCTTTTGGTCACGCTTTTCATTGGCGAAGTCGTCTCTCCCTCTTATATTTACGTTATGCTCAGAACTCCCCAGTGTCCGTCGAGTGCCGTATGCCAGTTAATCGTCATGCCTCTCCATTGCATGCGTTTTTGAGGAATGATGGCAGTACCTATACTAGGCTACTATAGTGCCGTTTGTTTTCAAGCTTAGTAGTGGCTGTAGCTTGGCAGTGAGATGCTTAATGAGGCAGATCATTCTAGGCCAGAGCAAGAACTCTGAAGCAAAATTCATTTGTTGTGTTGATCGCAGAGGTGAGGATATGGCCGCAGGATGCCTCTTGGGATAGCGTGGCTGAAGCCAAGGCCCCACCACTGTGCGCGGAGGGACACGATGCTGGGGTTGAAGCGACACTTGGGGTGCGTCTTCCAGCCCCACCGCCTCCCCATTTGTGGGTCTGTAACCCCGAGCCCGGCAGCTGTGGGGCCATAGTCCGGGCCATACGAGCCATTGCTCCGTATAACAAGATGTTAGCGTGCAGTTCACAAGCCTTTAGGTTGAGTACAACAGTAAAAAAATGTTCCCACGCTAATTTTTCGAGTTTCACATATACTACGAGTCTCATATATACGACGAGGCTTGCGTATACTACGAGTGTCACGTATACTACGAGTCTCACGTATGTTACGAGTCTCACCTAAACTACGAGTCTATTCGTCATTGTTGCAGATGTGATGGGAACATTTGTGAAAGCTGTCAATCTCATTTGTTTCCCCGTGCAGGTTTGGTTCCATAGCGCTGAAGTACTGTGGCTTGGAAGAAAATGAACTGCGACAACTGTTGGAGCAATTGCAAGTCGATGACATCAGGA